CCACGCCCGGCCCGGCATCGCCAGGACCAGGGGTTCCTGGAGTACCCGGGGTACCAGGAGTTTGTAACCCCGGACCTGACGCTTGGATAGAGGGGAGGGAGATACCAAGGTGATTGAATAACGCAAACTCGGGATAAGTACCCCTCATATCGATGCTGCTTCTTCCTCTTCTATGTTTCGCCATCAATGCAGGAATTCTCCCCAAACCTCCTGCTCCCATTTTCACCGGGCTACCTAGCCGTTTAATCCCCATTCCTTGCTCCATCCTATCAGGAGTCGTAGGTCTGCCTCCCGCATCCCCACCACCACCACCACCACCGCTGCCGCCGCTGCCGCCGCTGCTGCTGCTGCTAGCAGCTCGCGGGATGGAAATGACGCCCGTCTCCCGGGATATAGTGGCTGCTAAGCGTAGCGCCGCTTCATCACGGTCTCTATTCTCCCCCAGCAGGCCGGCCATTGCACGGGTCCTGTCCCGAAGGTGGTCAAGGACTTGTACAGTATACCCGCCTGCTATGCGCCAATTTTGGTTCCTGGCGCGGTTTGCAGCGTTGATCCGACCACGCAGCGGGGCTAGGAATTCATTATATGCTGCGCCTCGGGAGACTGATGGGATATCGATATACAGCGCATCAATACTCTCCTGTAGACCTTTTATCAGCTCCCTCTCCTGGGTTGATTCGGGCCTATCTGGTGGTATGAACGATGAAAAGGTGTCATCGAGCTTCCTCCTTATCGCCGCTGTTTCAAGCCCAGCAAGTTTCGTTACCAGCACTTCGATTTGCTGTAGCCCATCGCCATTGCCGCTGGTGGTGGTGGTGGAGGAGGAGGGTTGTGTTTGTGCTGCCAAATTCTGTAGCCTAGCAAGTACCCTATCATCACTGTCCAGCACCTTCGTCACCTCCTCTGTAATCATCTCCGTGGGTTGCATAGTGGCCTTTAGATCCGTTACTTCCTCATTAAGAATTCCCACAAGATCATCGAAGCTCTGCATCAATTCATCAACCTCTTGTGCCCACTTTCTATTTCTTGCTGCTTCGAGTTTCTTTTTCCTCTGCTTCTCTTCCTTCCGCCGCTGCTTTATCCCATCGAGAGTCGCTTTTTGGGCTTGTAGCTGCTGGGTATGGCGCTGGAGTAAGGCGGTAGAGGCGGCATAACGCGTTATTTCGCTCTGGAGTTGGAGTTCGGTGACGACTGGGGAGGATGGCGCAGGGGGGTTCCGAAGGAGCTTTTGGTAGACGCCGGTTTTGGTGAGGTGGTGCTCGATGGCGAGTTCTTCGGCGGAGAGGAGGGTGGAGTCATGGAGGTAGAGGGAGGTGTAGAGCTCGACGGGTTGGGAGGTTTTGGGTTGTTGGAAGGACCAGGAGATGTCGTCAGGCCCGAGGTTGGAGTTATGGGTGCTGAGAACTGAGAGGAGATGCTGCTCAGTTGATGTGGAAGTGGAGGAGGTCATGGTGGAGGCGCGCGAGGAGGTACCCAGAAGTTCCCTGTGGTGGGAAGACGCGCGGGAGCAAGCGACGCGGGGTGCCCTGAGGATGTGCCCTACCCGTGTTGCTCTAGATGCGTTGTTCGGTTCGCCGGTAGCGCGTATGGCTAGCCATTGGTTGCCCTTGGTTCTGAAGATCGCGATTGGCGAACAGCTAAGGGTCGAGTAGGAAACAATGAGGTCATTGGATAGACTTTAGAATTTAAAGTTGGATGATCATCAAGCAAGCCGCGTAACAACATATCTATCATAGCTACATTACAACGTCGCATCACGTTTACATTATACGACCACCCCGACATAAAATATGTCTTCAGACTTCAGAAAAGAAAAGAAAAGAGAACAAGAAAAACACTTTCTACCACCCAATACTAGTAAAAGAAAAATAGTAACCCGAAGAAACCGCTAATATATTATACAATCCATTATCCATTACGACTTTGTATTTGTCAGACTATCACGTTTACCACCTGACTTCTCTGCCCCTTATTTTGATACTTCTCGTAGTTAAACGTTCAATATGTGGCTCTGCCTTTGGGGGCGGCCTAGGTTTCGGTGGCGATGCAGCCGGCTCGCTATCAGGTTTAATAACGAGAAGAATTATTACACCTAGGATAATTAATAGAAGGAGGAAGATAATCTTCCTCTTTGTAGTTTTCTTCTGATAACCAGAAGCCTATTCCGGTTAGCTGTCTGTTTCAACCTACAGCAGCGGGGAAAAATTCTCACAATCGTCATTTCCTTGTCCGCCTCTTTTACATGGACATTCATTTGCTCAACGTTGTAGTCGATACGATCCAGCATGGTTCCTTGGTCGATAACCATAGCTTGAAGGTCTTTGAAGATGTCTGCAAGCTCCATAATTCCCTCTGCAATATCTGTAATTTCCCGTTCTCGCTGCTGGATTGCAGCATCGTTACTGGTAAGCGTTGCCGATTGCTGTAAGACACTTCGAGAGTATGAGACATCCGAGCTCGGATCTGTATCAGGGTTGTATGGGGAAGGAGAAGCAGCACGGTCCAGCGGCGAGCTCATTCCTGAGATACCACGAAGTTCTAAATCCCGCAGTCAGCGCAAACCCGTCACGTCATGTCGCCGATGCTAGATAAAAAAACCCACTCTTAAGATAGGCGCTCTGTTTCTTCCTGAAGCGCGTGGAAGCTTCTTGCACTTTTGTCGCAAGCGAAACCTGAATATTCTTCCCCATGGCTTCTTCTGCTTTGGAGCAACCCGAGTCGCGAATCATTACACCAATGCGTTGAATCTTGTCTTGACACTTATGGAACTGCGCAGTAATCTCTTGAGTAAGGCGCTCAATCTCTCCTTCTTCATGTCGATTATCATCGAAGCCAGGTAGAACATGCTTGTTATGTAGTCTCTCCAGAATGGCACTCTTCTTAGCGATGCCTTGCAAGATCTCTCCAACCTCATCGGATACGTCTGCCCATCGAGGAGGTAGTCGGTCCATTTCGATTACAGCGTCGCCATTTTGGGAAACGTCATCGGGGTCGTCAACTGCGGACAGAAGACCGCGGCGGTCATCGTCGGTGTAGAACGGCGAATGTTGATCTGTGAATCTCTGTCGCTTTGCGGGGTGGTGACTATAAGACTGTCTATAGGAGATGTAGCTATTTTGTGGGGGGGAGTTCACTCGTTAGCTATTCCGAAGCTGTGACATGACGGTAACGGTGGTGGGAGGAGTGGGAATGGGCTGCCAACAGGTTTGTGCGGTCCCGCCACATCGAGGGGAGCTAAGCTGTATGCTGTATCGTGTCGCTTTTGTGTCTTTCGCAGTGGTCGTCGCGGCTGTGGTTCGCGGAATTCAGAACTTTGTCGTCGTCTTCTTCGTCGTCGTCGTTGTCTCTAGCTGGAGCTTCGTTTCGGCGTTTCGAGAAAGGCGTTATTCGTGTTCTTCGGCATCGGCTTCTTGTTGATTACTTCGATGCGTGCTAGTAAGCAGCAAGGTGTCGACGGTCGCATCAGAAAGCTGGTCTGAAGCAACACGTGACGTGGGAAAGATAGCGGCTCAACGAGTCAACAAGAAAGTGTCCTTTCGCGTCTTGCTCATCTACTTTAAGTCGACACGTCCGGCAAATTCCTCAGAGTCGGCAAGTTACAACACAACCGGCAAATTCCTCACAGTCGTCAAACTACAAACTTCACAAAGTTCGACACTTCCGACAAATCCACAGAGTTCACAACCCACCACCACCTGCCACCATGGCCTCACTCCCCGCATTCCCCACGGACGCCCGTGAGCTCTTGATGATGATTCTCAACCCAAGTCCCTTAGTAGCCATCACCATCGCCTTATGCATCTTCACTATCCCGATCTTCCTACACCTCTTCATATTCCCCAGCTCATCCTCCTCCATGCTCCCCACCTTCCTGCTTCTCGGCCCCAGCTCCTCCGGCAAAACCACCATCACGACCTCCTTCGCCAGTTCCCCCAGCGAGACCCGGACTAGCCAAGCCGCCCTCTGCCTCGAATGCGACATCCCCGCCAGCCTTACCAAATCCTCCGGTTTCCGCTCCTCTAACGACCCCTCTATGCGTGGTGTTGCAAAATTCTACCTTCAAGACACCCCGGGCCATGGAAAGCTTCGTAACAAGGCTATCGAAATGATTAATAAAGATACCAGGGGTGTGGTGTTTGTTGTTGATTCGGGGGTTCAGGAGGAGTGGACGGATGCGGCGGAGTATTTGCATGATGTGCTGCTTAAGATCCAGAAGCTGCAGGATACGCAGGGGAATAAGAGAGAGGAGTTTAATGTGTTGGTCGCTTGTAACAAGAGTGATTTGTTTACCGCCAAACCTGCGCAAGGGAAGGAGGGGATTAAGCAGACGCTTGAAAGGGAAATTGCCGTGGTTAGTGCGACGAGGAGAAGGGGGATTGTTGGAGCGGGTGAGGAGGAGAGTGATGAGGATCAATGCCTGGCAACGGACGAGGATGGAAAGTTTAAGTTTGAGTCACTGCAGGAGTTTGGAATACAGGTGGTGTTTAAGAGCGGGTCAACGATCGGGAATGGGTGGAGACAGTCGATGGGGGAGTGGTTGGGGGAGAGCTTGTAAAATTCTGATGATGTTATGAAGAGGGAGTTTATAATTTGCTGTAATTGTATGATATCCTGCGTTGAGGCGCTTTTTAGTAGCTAATTTTATGTCTAATGTTGATGAAGCAATCAATTGGGAAAAGGCATGTAATGGTTCATGATTGAAGATGTGGGTTCTACGGATGTTGACCCTCTGCTGTGATTCACCATGCATAAGCTGCCAACGACTTAAATAATTCTTGTGCATAAAAAGATGAATCTACAACCTACAATACGGCTGTAATTTGTAAAGAAGCTAAAACTCCAAAATCCCCGAACTTTAACATCAAACAAAAGACTACCGCATTGTCTCACTACGCGGCTCTGCCCCTCGTCACGCTATATCCCCATCTCATCCCACCCCACCCATCATCAACCCTCACACCCCCACTCCATCTCCCTCCTCACCCAACACCCCAACAAAATGATTACAACCAAGCTTAAACTAGCAAACCTTCGCATATAAAACAAACGTAGTAACCACTACACTATGCAACCTGCAACCACTTCATATTTGCTCGATGAAATGATGCGAATATCTCGACAAACGTTGTGAATCAACTGAGTGTTAGATTCTTGTCTCCGGATACGTAGAACGCGTGATTGGTGATACGTCGGCTTGTATTATCTTCTGAATGTAGATGGCGACGTGTAGCTACATCCAATCCTCGTCTCATGTTTCGATTGTTAGCCTCACGGTTTGCCAAAGGATCTCGACAGATCAGTCTAGTTGTTCGGGCTGGGCGCCTTGCACAGCCCCCAGCCCCCAGCCCAAGTAGCACAGTCGCTTGCTAGACTACGACAGATCTTAAACTACTTCTACTTATTGATAAATAGAAGATGGTTATAAAAGAAACATGCAGACGACTAGGCAGTTAAATGCAAGTAAATGAACTCCGGTGAGTCAACAGTAAAACAGAAGACCTCATTTGCAGCCGCAAAAAACCCGACTAATGTTTTTGCTTTGCCCCGCTCGTGTGCGGAGGTGTTGAGAGTCTTCCTACGACTAGAAAAGGTTAATGCATGGGATGTAGGTAGGTACTCGATTGGTTGCGAGGGTAAACTGTACTCGAGTACAGCCGAGGCGTACATACGCAATTCATACAGGCATTGCCTTGAGGGCCATGTATGTGACGAAGTTCCACACGCTACAACCGCCATAGCCGCTATGCGCATTATCATAATCCAATCCACTCATTCCTCGCATATAAGTACCAAAAAAGCACGCCGTAAGTATCATGTACATATTCACACGTACGTTCCAGTACTCGGGCTGCTAACATTTCATTCAAAAGAGACCGGTACATCAACATCAAAAGAAAAACAAAAAATTCTGATCAAAACTGATAAACCAAGTGTTAGACCCTTCCAACGAAAACCACAAGAACAGCCGAATACGTTGCCGAAGCCATCAACAACTCCTGATTTGATGAATTACTCCCCAATGTAACACAAACTGCAAACAGAAAAACAAACATGACAACGAAGAGCTGCCTCATCAGTAAAGATTCGGTGTATGCGAGAGATATCATCGGAAGCATCAGGAAAACACCACCAAGTATCGAAATGATGAGACGGGCTACAATGTCCGTTGTTGAATGTATGAACATGTGAATCGGTCGCTGGCTTGGGGGAATTCTTTCCTCTTCGTAATCGGCAAGCAGACTAACTTCGGGAGATAGTGCATAATGTTGTATTGCAACACGTATCTTGTCTGGAGAAGCATTCAATGCTTCTGGCGTGAGATGCAGCATTGAGAGTGCGTCACCCGCGGTTGTGTAGAATTTCCAGTCCAACCTTTTGGAAAGAACATCAACCACGGTTGTCCTACGGCTCATCTCGGGGCGCTTCATTTGGGAGATTTCTTTGATGTTTCTTATTGCCTCATCTTGAGTTATGTTAGTAATGTTAATTAACCATCGGTTACCCATATTGAAAAAAGCACCTACGATATTCTCTCAGTAATTTCCGAACATTCATGATATACTCCTCTCCTATCTCTTTGGTGCTGTCAATCTGAGTGCCGTTTAATCCAGTCCAGCTCTCTTTATAGGAGTCGATTTTTTGATTTAGTTGTACAAGGTCATGCTGATAGTGGTATATGTTAAAAAGACTCAGTGTCTCGAATCTCTTAAACATATACCAAGCTTCCGGATATAAGCCGCGTGCGAAGTCATATAACTTTTCGTTTATAGTTATGCCTTCCGCCAAGTTAGGAATGTTCCTATCCTCACATGATTCAGCTGTCGTTTTTGCCAAGGTTGATAGTCGACCTACCAATGAGTATACCAGCGATACTATCGACAGAGAAGCTTTTTTGTGTGCGATTTTTTGTTCGGAACCATTATGAAATGATAGTCTTGAGTCTTTGCTGTGTTCTTCATCTGACGCCATCTCGGGTTGATAAGAGCTCTCCTATGGATCGGTTCGGTATGTGAGTGAAAAGAGCGAACTGACATCAATAAGTACCCACCACATATACTTCCTGATTTTCCCTGCAGAATTAAGATATCGAGACATTTTCTAGGCAGATACACCTCAAAACATCCACTCTATGCACTCACAAGTTGCCTTTCGGGGGCCGGGAAAATTCATTGATCGGGTTTCAAAAGAAGTTTCTTTGCAGGTATGTAGTACAAATCAGATCCTAGTCAAGGCTTTCTGCAAGAATACCAATAGAATTGCTCACTCTGCGTTATTTCACAAGTGAGACGAAGTAGAAGGCATTTTTCATCGGCTATGATTTCTTCAAGGCTTTCTTCAGCTGTAGATATCCGTCATTAGACAGGATTTGCCCTCCGAAACGTGATCCGAACAGGTTTAGTTCTTATTTCTCAGTCTTTCTGCACTGCGTCACAGGATGCGTGCATCGCGGCTCTGTTAATCCAACCATATGACAAAAAGAAGCTGATTCATGAAAGATGATATGCAGATTCAAGATCCACCTTCCATTTGGTGGTATGTAGATACTGCAGCTGTACAACTGCCAAGACTCGGAAATAAGAACTGCACCTGTTCCAGTTTCGGAGGGCGAATCCTATCTACTCTATTGGAGGAAACACTCCTCCCGATGGCAACTAATTCTCCCCGCATAAGGTTTCCGCCCAAGAGTTCGACCATTCATCAAGCGCATGAATCATGCTTTTTTTTCATCACCGCCTCCCAAGTGAGGCAAGCATAAAGAAATTGTACTCTTGCCAAACAGAGATCCGATAATCTCCCCGGTACCAATCACGGCGAACTAAAAAAAAAACGGCTGTTCCCAAAGGCGATCAAATGTCAACCGAGCGAGGGATATGCACGTACCAAAAATCACGGGACTGAATTTCATCACCATAGCTGCTGCGAACCTAACCTGATTCGATATCCTTGTACCACGAAAGCGCGTTTCGCGCGTGCCCGCCCGCCACATGCGCAGCCATGGCCTACACATTCTCTCCCGCGCTCTCCTCGCTCGCCCAGCCGGCGAGCACCCTCCTCTCCGGCGCCCCACACGTTGAAGCTCTCGCTATCGGCGCCTACATCTTCTCTGGCCCGCGTATCCTCCTTCTTCGGCGAGCACCAACCGAGTCCTGGGCGAACCGTTGGGAAGTTCCCGGCGGTGGTGCCGAAGTCACTGATGCCACCCTTCTCGACACTGTAGTTCGCGAGGTGAAGGAGGAGACGGGGTTAGATGTGATGCATATTCCTGAGGTGTTGGGGTTTGCGGATTTCACTACGAGTAGAGGGCTGAAGGTTCGGAAGTGGGGGTTCGTGGTGGAGGTTAGGGAGGGAATGGAGGTGAGGTGTGAGCCGAGTGAACATTCGGAATACAGGTGGTGTACGAAGGAGGACGTGGGGGAAATGGAGATCACGACGCAGACACATAAGGGGAATATTTTGAGGGCGATGGAAAGAGTCGCGAGTGTACTGTACCGAGCTTCGAGGAAGAAGCAGGTTGGCCGTGTGACAGGTATTTTAGATGAAGCAGCTATCTGATGACAGGTTTCTGTAAAGAAGCAATGGGGTATGACAGATCTAGGGTAAGAAGCAGTGTTCTTAATACAAATGAATGATGTTGGAAAATTCAACTTCGTTATTGTGCAGTCTACTCGCCAAAACTCAAATGACAGTGACACTAGGGGTTGGTAGATGATGCGAAGCAGTGCTATGACACATGACGCTTCTTCTTCATATGTATAGGGGGGCGTAGATCATGATATGAGGTACCTTATGTCATTTTTGAGAGGGACAGGATACTGGGAGTATGGGGCTAACAAAATCTAGTGGTGTCGCAGGATTGCATGGTTCTCATGATTCTTAGCTACATATTTCAAAAAGAATGCATTTAACTTGCGGACTAAGTCACCAAGTCAGGCCAAGGCTCTACATGATGCACATCATGTGATGAATTGCGCTCTGATGTAATCGAAATTTATAACCGTTGGGTGGACATGCCGATCTTTAGAAATCCGGGCTGATGATTGTCCAGATTTCATAGGAACTTTACCGCTAGACATTGATGGCTTCCCATAAGCTTTGGCGGAATTCTGGGTGTGCTTTATGTAGCCATTGCTCTAAAGCATTTACGTCCCACAAGCTCACATGGCCTATTGCACATTTAACGTGGGCCCAACCATCTTATGGATCGTGCACGCGCCGGGTAATGGCCGGAATGTGACATATTCGGCCTTTGCAGGGGATATGCCCAATCACGCAACGCCCATTTGTTTAGTTTTTTTTTTTACGATCCGCCATTTGCCTAGACCCCCTCCCTTAACCAAGGCCCCCATCTAGGCAAACGGCGGATTAACATGATTTATCTAGCTTTCGCTTTAGCCGGAAATCATGGCTAAGCAAAAGCTAAGTCATCCAATGTCTACATAATGCTGCTCGAGTAAGGCTAAGCGACTTCTGACGTGCACGCGCGCGGCTAGGCCAAGTTGCGTTTCTAGTAGAGTAGAAGCACAATGCAATGCATGTCTGTCTTCAGCACCGAACGGCACGTGAATAATTCTCGCTAAGATTTTGCCCAGTCTATTAAAGAGGCGGAAGCTGTCTTTCACTTCTTCGAAACACTAATCAACCTCCGCCTGATATCCATACTTCTAACAGGACATTCTAGTTTCAATGGAGCTGATTACATGTCTTCTTGTCATTGCGTGCTTGGCCTCGTATGCCAATGGCGATGAAGGGGATGATAGCGTAAACAATGTGTTTTCAGATCTTGCTCCGTACAGTCTCTTCCAGTCTTTCATTCTGGATTCGAGTACCAACGTTAGATTTGATTTTAGTCTCTTAGCACTCTTCGGCGAGCAGTTCGCCAAGCAGTTCACGAGCGAGTCGATGGGATGGCTGGATAACGTGATTTTCGCCATGGCACCACTCGGAATCATCACAGCTCTAGTCGGTGCAATTAGGGTTGATGGTCCGGTGTGGTTGAAAGCGGTCATAGGCCGTTCCAGGGAGAATAGGGCTGCTGCTGAAATTGAGTTGATGTCATCAACGTCTTTCGCACC